TATCTCATATGACAAGTGGCATTCAACAACAATAAATTATAATAATCCAATACCGACAACAGCAGCAGTAACAGCTCTTTTTTTTTTTCTCATGTTTTATAAATGCATATAATTTTGTTTCTGTGTATTTGTATTTGTACGTAGGCTTTTCGTTTATTTTCTTCTCTTTTCTTTCAATGTTAACTTTAATATTACAAATAATAAGTGTATCTTGATTGCAGTAAAACACTTTTAATTTTTTTCACTGTAAAACTAAAGAATGCTTATCAGTTGCTCCAACAATTTTCCTGCTACCACTGACTGATGCTTATACAGATGCCATTGCTTCTGATGCTCTTGACCTTGCTGTTGCTATTGCTCCTTCTGTTACTCCTAATTGTTACTTCAACTGCCTCTGCCATTGTTAATGCTATTTGCAGCTTTTCGATATCAATGATACATTTTGATACTGTTCTTCATATGCTTTTTGATGTTGTCCGTTAATTGACAAACAGTTTTCACGTTAGATAATAAATTCCTTGCTTTTTTCTTTCTTTTAGGTTCTCTAATTAATAACAACAACAGCTATCTATGACAACAACAAAACTGTATGCAACCATAGTGTTTTACAAATTTTTCTTTTGGTATATTTATTTGATGACATACTGAAAGAAGAATTATGGATGAAAAAAAACAACAATTGACCAAACAACAACAAACATTGATTATTTTCCTCTTTTATTCCCTCCTTCCTCTAAAAAAAAAAACTAAAAGTGAAGAAGGAATAAGAGAAGAAGGGGAGTACTGAGGATAAAAAGTGGATAAAATTTTTTTTTCCTGCTTTTCAACTGATATCCACCCTCTCAATTTTTATTTCTATGTCCGTTTGTGTGTAATCAGTTGACAATAAGCAACAACAACAAATGCAACAACAACAGAGCAACACTGGCAGCTAGGTGAAATAATAGAGGATTAAAATGTGCAATTTTGTTGTTGCCATGTTGCTAAATTTTCTGTTTAATGCTTTGGGACGGTAGTGAATGCTTTGGGACGGTTTCAACAAAATATCAGCAGAACAGAGCAAACGGAGCGACTTATAGGTCTTTGTTTTTTTTTTTAGCCCATAAAAGACTACGATAACAGGTTAAAACCCATTCAAATAAAGCCGAAAAATGGAAAATATAACATTAGACATCAAAAGTTTACTGCACTGTTGAAAATTTTAAACTTCATCAAAACACATTTAAATCTTCTGTGAACTCTGTCGAATCTTTTTGCAGTTGATGTTCAAGTGATGAGCGAAACCAAAAGAAAAGAAAAAAGAAATATTGGAACAAAATTAAGTGATCGAAAAAAAAAAATCTCAAACTTTAATCTAAAAACAACTACCAAAAAAATAAAAAATAAATAAAAATTAAAAAAAAAGTGACAAGTGAAAGAAAAAAAAAGTAAACAGCAAAACTTTCTACTGTATTCAACACTATTTTTTGTCCTATTTTCCTTAAACTTCACATTACCTAACAACACAAACTGTTGATTTTCACGTCAAAAACAGATTTGATTTTTATTTGGCCAATCATTTCTGGATAGTGATATTTTCCCGGCAATAGTTGAAAACCACATATAACAACCAAATCAAGCAGCAGCTTTAAAATTATGCCATCAAAAAGATACAATGTCTTGTTTTGACTATAATTTTCTTTTTATCCGTCTATTCCGTAAGCAATCTGTTTACTGCTTTTGGTAAAGGTGACAATAAAAAAAAAACTTTTTTTTCTTCTTCCTTTACTTTTTTTTAAGCTTATTTCTGTTGTCTAACCTCTCGCTTAACCACTCAGTAATCTTCCTTCAAAAAAGAAAAAAACGTAAAAAAAAAAGGAAGTAAAAAAAATGGCAAAATTCATAAGATCTGCTGTTTAGTTGCTGTAAAATAAGCCATCCAACTGGATATGGTTGATGTAAGCTTAAAATTTTATTTAAAAAAAAAGGCTCCGAAAAAGTATATATATAACCAAATAAATAAATACACAATTATAACACAATTATCACTGAGCAACTGCGTGCTGTTGTACTGTTGATAAACAAATAATAATACACGAATATCAATAATTTCACAAATCCGCAATAATTTTCGCATAATTGAAGCAGTTGAAACAAAAATTGCAGTTACCGCTGTTTTCGGTTCTTCCTTATTCATTTTTTTTTCTTTTACTTCTTACGAATATTTACTGCTTGTTTTTGTCCCCTGCTAACTGCTTAGCTTCATAAAAATGATTGTTACACAAAGATTGATATTATTGGACACAATTTGGATTTGCCCAGGAATTGGCATATTCAACAAAAAGTCGGTATATGTCGGAAGTGTACCACATAAACCATAAAATTTGAAGCCCTTCCGCTATAAGGCAAACAAAACGAGGAAAATAAAAAAAGTGTGGGTTGATTTGGCAAAACAAGAAAGCTTACTTACTATAACTGCAAGACTTTAAGACCCAGTCTAATCTTTACGGGCCTACATATTGACGCTTATAAATATTTTAAAGTTTACCCATGAATGGAAGTAATGAAATGAGTGCCCGGCCTTTCAAACAGCAATTCCTCCTTCACTGTTTCCACAGATCACCATCGATCAATGACTCCAAAAGTCAAAACTATGTGCTGCCTACACACATTTAGAATCATTCGTAACCAGCATTGTCAAGTTGAACATTTATCAAATATTTCTGCTTGCCAAATGTTGATAAGGATGCTCCTTTAACTATTTAATCAGTATTAAATCCTCGGAGTGAAAAACCTTCATTTCAACAATATGTCAAAGTGCTTTTTTTTCTCTTTCCCTAGCAAACGACAATTTTAAGTTTCAAATTTAAAATCGTCTCAAGACTATCAGTATAAGACGTGTGTTATTACTCGGCATAATATTACTAATTCCATACAAGGGCTAATTTTTTATAACATCAACAACGTAAAACATTACAACAAAACTAGTCACCCACTTTAACAAACCAGAAAAATAAGAAAAAGAAAGAAACAAAACAAAACGAAATTTCAATAACAACTAAAACAAAAAAAAATATGATACAGTAAAACTCCTCATCTACCATAAAGTATTCGGAATTTCACGTCTCCTAAAATGAGAATTTTATAGGAAAGCTAAAAAGATACACCACTGCCCTCGGATCTGTTAAGATATTGGGCAACGCCCCCGTTTGATTCAAAAAAAAACTTGAAGTTCAAAGAACTGCTGCAGTAACATTTGAAAACAATGGAGTAAACAACTAACTAATCCCTAGCTCATATTGATCAACACAAATTACTAGCGAAAAAATCTAACAGAACCATAACGAGCGAATCCTCATCATAAGCAGCCTTAAGTCTATTAAACAACGCTTACGCTGTTGATTAGAAAAGATAAGAAAAAAACTTGACTTAAACTTATTATTATGAATACAGCGCATCAAAACAACTGTAACAAAAAAAAAACCATACGCTCTAAGGGTTCTACCTACCACTATATACAATAACATTATACAAGGACAGTTCCACTCGGTTGGCGGTATGTATACGTATAAACAAAAATGCGACACGACGGTGGGCAATACTTCATAAAACAAAAACAAAAAACCGTCTTGTCTAAATCAAAAAGACAACTGCCATAACGGCCGAAACGGTTCGAAACCAGTCTTAGATAACAGTAGAAGCTACATGATACTCATTCTGAAAAATACAAATGCTGGGCCTACTTCAATGCTAAAAATATAAATATTAAAAATCCTGTACCACGATGAAATTTAAGGACAAGTAACTGGAAACAACAATTCCTGCCGTCAACAAATCTTCTATTTCCGTCTTATTCAACAAAATCACACTGGTCGTCTTCTGCGCTATAAGACTCAAAAACAACTACTGTCTCCTCACCGATGCTAGTTCTTAACACTCGCTGTCTTATCCCGCCGGGCTTTTCTGCTGAAAGAAAAAACAAATACCGGTAAACGAAAGAAAAAAGTTGCAAACGGCATAAATAAAACAGTAAATACTGATTTGATAAACCTGAAAACCATTTATCGCAACTAAAACGGTCATTTTTCCTAATTTCAACATTTCAATTCATTATTACTAGTGAATATATTGATGAACAAAGATTACTTTTCATGTTCGAGCTGAAGATATCCTTTCGAATTTCTTGCAACTAAAAAAAAATAAACTGTAAGTTCCAAATATAAACGAAAAAATAGAGGAATGCGCTTGAAAAATCTAAAATGTCCATTTTCTTTGTAAAATTTAAATTGCTATATATTATCAGACTACAGAATCACGAATAATTAAGCTCTCACCTTAAAAAACAGAAAACTGATAAAGCTGAACAATAATAAAACCACAAAACTTCTGATTGAGAACTTCCAAAACATTAACCCTTTACTGCTTTTATTAAAAGAAAGTAAACCACAAGGTTTCTCAACAACGAACTACTGAGAAATTAAACTCGCTTGTCAGTAATAATTTACCGCGAATATTTAGAAGCCAACAAACAACTTCTAAAAAAACACTACTTCACCACTTCCAAGAATTAAGACACTTTAATTCATAAAAAGTTCTACTGAAACTGAACCTTAAACCTACTTGTCCAAGTCTAAGCAGTTAAGAATTACAGAAACCATAACCAAAATTTTTTCACCGGAATAAAAACCTCTTAATTTCAACAATTAAAAAAGCACTTCCCCAAGTAAGAAGCAACCGCTAACCATCTCATTTCCACTTAATTTTTCACATTCTTCGGAACTCTCCTCGGACAACTTCTTCTTCAGCTTACTCCTAGCTTTCTTCTGATTCTTCCGTCTTTGACCCAAGATAGACGAATTTGGTCTGAATGAGTATTTCTGTACCAATCGGTCGCTAAATGAGACATGCTTTTTCTGCAGGGATATATCAAAACCTAAAATAAGGCTATGTGAGTAGTGAAGAAATCAATCTTGAAAAATTTATAGGTTAAAAAAATGATCTATAGCACTTAGTTAATCATCTAATTTCATCGAAAGCTACTTAGAATGCGTTCCTACGCCTGAAACAAACGACAATAAAAAAAAATTGAACATAAACATCACCACTGCCGCCGCATCCTTCATCGCCCTCGATTTTCTTTCCCACGCTTATGTCATTCTGACATTCAGACAAGGATCTTCAAAAATTAGTTCAAAGTAAATGAGCTATTAAAGAAGAACATGTCTAGTAAAAGGAAAAACAGAGCAGTAAGATTGCATGCATTTTTAATAATAGAAAACCTATTAGTCTACAAATAAACTATGCCCTTAAAACTGAATCAAAAGTCCAAAAATTTTACACACCAACATAAATTGGTCACCTCGTAAAACGGCCTCTGTGCTCAACTACAGGTGTCGTTTTTTTCAAAATACCTTTCAAGATAGTTTCTCCGCAGTTTTCACTTTTCGACCTTTGTCTTACTGCGTTCGCTTCCTGTTGTACCCTACCAGCTCCTAAAAAGACGACACGAATTGCTACAATGTCAGAAAAATGAACGCGATACTAGATATCAAAAAAAGTATAAGCCATCATGAGCAAAATGCGTGTTTACGCGAATCGAAATACGATAACTCTTTCTACAAAAACAGCATAAATAGGAAGCATTTATTCAAACCT